TTCCATTGTGTATATGTACCACATCTTCTTGATCCAGTCATCTATTTTTGGGCATTTGGGTTGCTTCCATAGCTTACCTATTGTAAATAGTGCTGCTGTAAACAGAGGGGATCAGGTGCCCTTTTGAATTAATGTTTCTGTGTCCTTTGGGTAAATACCTAGGAGTGGAATTGCTGGATCATATGGAAACTCCATCTTTAGCAGGTCGAGGAGTCTCCACACAGCTTTCCACAGTGGTTGGACCAGTTTGCACTCCCACCAGCAGTGCAGGAAAGTTCCTTTTCTCCACATCCTCACCAACATTTGTTGTTGCTATTTTTTTTTCAATATGTGCCATTCTCACTGGTTTAAGATGGCATCTCATTGAAGTTTTGATTTGCATTTCCCTGATTACAAGTGATGTTGAACATTTTTTCATATGCCTGTTGGCCATTTGCATTTCCTCTTTGGAGAAATTTCTTTTTAGCTCTTCTGCCATTTTTTGACTGGGTTATTTTCTTTGTTTTTGTTGAGTCTCATCAGCTCTTTGTAGATTTTTGTGATCAGTCCTTTATCATTAGTGTTGTGTGCAAAATGTTCTCCCAATTGGTGGGGTGTTTCTTTGTTTTGGTTACTATTTCTTTTGCTGTACAAAAACTCTTTAATTTGATGTAGTCCCAGCTGTTTATCTTTGCCTTCACTATCACTGCTTTGGGTGATGTGTCTTTAAAGATGTTACTGAGGTGTATGTCATGTAGTGTTTTGCCTATATTTCCTTCTATATATTTTATGGTTTCAGGTCTTATGTCTCATTCTTTAACCCATTTTGAGTTGGTTTTTGTGCATGGTGTGAGGTAGCAGTCAAGCTTCATTCTTCTAGGATTGCCACTTTAACAAAAAAGGGAAAGAATAAGTGAAAGCGAGGATGAGAGGAATTGGAACAACCTGTATCACTGTTGGTAGGAATAATATGGTGCAGTTTCATTGAAAACAGTCCTCAAAAAATGTAAATAGAAAAACCATGAGATCTAGCAATTCCACTTCTGGGTATGTATCCAAAATAACTGAAGCAAGATCTCGAAGAAATATTTGTACTTCCATGTTCACAGCAGCATTATTCACAACAGCCAATGGGTAGAAGAAACACAAATGCCCATCAATGGTTGAAGGAATAAAGAAAATGTGGTATAGGTACCTACAGCAGAATATTATTCAGCCCTAAAGATGGAAATCCAATCACATGATACAATGTAGATGAAGATGAAGACATCACCCTAAGTGAAATATTCCAGTCACAAAAGGACAAATACTGTATAGTTCCACTACTGCAAATTACCCAGAGTAATTAAATTCATAGAGACAGCCAGTAGAATGGTGACTGTCAGGGGTTGAGGGGCAAGGGAATAGAAAGTTGTTCCATTGGTTTTGCAAGGTGAAAAAGGACTGGTGATCTGATGTACAACAATGTGAATACATGTAACATTACTTAAAAATGGTTAAGTTTTTTTTTGTTTTATTGTTTTAAAGATGTGACTCCCAGGCTTCTCTTGCTCTCTCTTGGTGCACTCTGTCATTCTTTGCCTCTGGCTCTCTGTCAGACCATCAGATGCCATGTTGGGAAGGTACTCGGCAGTCTTGGAGAGACCCACACGGCGTGGAGTGGAGCCTTTTCACAGCTGGTAACCGTATGGTGGAACTTGGAGGTGAATCTGCTCAGGTCTGCCAGCATGTAACTGAGACTGGAAGTGCATCTTCAACCCTCCAGTTGATGAAATCCCCTTTGGATGAAACAATGACTCTGGCACACAGCCTTAACCTCATGAGAGGCTGTCAGGTAGAGGCAATCAGCTGAACTACCTGGGGTTCTAACATATGGAAGTTATGGGATAATGAAGATCTGTTCAAGCTGATAAATGTAGGGGTAATTTGTTATGCAGCAATAGGTAACTGATACACCATCAAATATATTTTAGAGAGATTGCCATGCCAGGTTACAACCCTGCTTTTCAGGGTATAAAAGTATGTATATTGTGCAGGTCAAATATTGCGTGCTCCAAACATTCCATATCCTAATCCCAGGAACTTGAGAATATATGTCACATGGTAAAAGGGGCTTTGCAGATATAATTAAGATTAAAAACTTTAAAATAGCTTATCCTGGATGATCGAAGTGAGCCCAATCAAATAATATAAATACTTAAAAATAAAGTGTTTCTCTGGCTAGAGGGAGGAGAGATTTGACAGGAACAGGAGCTGGAGAGCTTCAAAGTACGAGAAGGACCTCACATTGCCGGAGGGGAAACATCTGATGCACAAGAATGAAGGTGCATGACTCCTTCATCCAGTCTCCACTGACAGTCTACTGACAATCAGCAAGGAAAGAGGGACTTCAGTCCAATATCTATAAAGAACTGAAATCAGGTAACAATCTGAGCTTGGAAGCTGTCATCACTGAAGTGTCCAGAAAGGAAAGCAGCCCTGCTGATACCTTGATGCAGACAGGGGCCTCCCTCTGTTCTGATACCCAGAACAGAGAAGGGCCTCCCTAGTGGTACAGGGGGTTGAGCGCAGTACTGTGAGGCTGTCTGCAGCCTCTGCAGTGCGAGTTTGATCCCTGGCCTGCCGGGGAGCTACCCACATGGCGCAGCAGACCTCTCCTGTCTTGCCTGCTGCTCGCCTCAGCAGTGTATTTCAGTCAGTCTGCCTGTTCTGTTCCCCGCTCTGTCTCTGGTGAATCCTCTCACCTCCCACACCTCTGGCCTGTGCCCCAGTTCTTGTATGCATGAATAAATAAATCCTTAAAAAAAAACCCAGAACAGAGAGACCAATCCAGCCAAGTGGGATTTCAGATCTACAGAATTGTGGGATAATAAATTTGTGTTATTTTCAGTCACTAAGTTTAAGGTAATTTGTTATGGCAGCAATAGAAAACTAATATATATGTGTGTATATGATATTTATGATTTTCAGTACTTTCCTACCTGGTATCATAGCTATGCAGATGTCACATTATGCTATTTATCATTTTCCACTTATCCTGCTGAAGCAATCTCTCACTATCTTAGTGTCTCTCGTATTGCAGACTTGAGTGTTCCATGCATTGTTTTTCAAGGCTCTCTGGGAAAGACACTCCTTCTCTAGGAGCCTGGTGTCTGGCTGGGAGTGAGACTGAGTGGCTGCTGGTTATTTCTGAGGCTACTAATCAATACTTACCATTAGGATGACAACTCCGTGCATCACTAAACTTTGACCTCTGTGCCCCAGAGCAGCCCCAAGATGCCAAATGATGTACAGACGATACACATATTCCTCAAATGCCATACCCCTTTCATAGACTTCCCTGAATTAGATTTTAGAGAATTTAGTGATGGCAACATACTGTTGCTAATGTACCAGGCAGCCCAGGATATTCAGAAAGGGTGCTTGGAGGAAGCAAATGTGCTTATGTTTCTTCAAAAGATCTTTTGGATGGATGCTTTGTTGGCCAGCTTTCCCAGTCTTCTACACTACTCAGTGTACGACAAAGTGTTCCTTAAGTGGGCCATGAAAGTAAGCAAACTTGGGCCTCCCCGGTGGTGCAGAGGTTGAGCGCTGGGCTGCGAAGATGCCCGCAGCCTCTGGAGCGCCGATTCGATCCCCGGCTGCTCCCCGGCCACCGGAGGAGGGTCCCATATGGCGCGCAGACCTCACCTGCCGCCCGCTGCTCCCCTCAGCAGTGTACTTCGGTCCTTCTGCCTGCTCTGCTCCCCGCTCTGGCTCTGGTGAATTTTCTCACCCTCCCGTGCTTCTGACTGTACCCAGTGCTTGTATAAATAAATGAATAAAAATAAATAAATCTTTAAAAAAAGAAAATAAGCAAACTTAAAAGGACAAGCCAGCAGTCGGCCCCCTCCTGGAAATCACAAGGTTGCCCTAAAAAAAATCTAAAAGAAGTTTAACTGCAATTCTCTTTTATCAAAAACTTTTGGAATTTTATTTCCCCAGAAATATGGCTCATTCAGGGAATTCTTCATTATGGTCTACCATCATGTAACGTCCAGGTATGCTCAATTAAAAGTGATGGTGCTCTTACTTTTCTGGATCTTTTCAAATGGGATCAGTGGCTAGAGTTGTTTTGGATTAAAATCAAATGGCTAATCTAATCAGGATTTCAAGAGGCAGTTATTTTTAAAAGAATCATACCTTAGTCAGTGGATCCCACACACTCAATCATTGTATGATACCAGTTGATTGCTTAGGTAAAAGGGGGATATCTTAGAACAGAAGGCTCATGAAATACCACTGAAGAAAGGATCATCATTGCAATGGAAATGAAAATTATTAGGAACCCCAAAAGACTGCTCCTTCCATCTCTTTCTCTCATTGACCTGGAGTTACTGATTTCGCATCATCGCTTGCTTTCCTCCAAAAGTCTCTGCTTACTAATTGGAATATCCAAGGCTAAGAATTCCACCAGCCTTGAGTTTATATCACTTTTAGTTTCTTCTCTTTTTCTTTTATTAAAGCTCTAATTGGTTTTATTAAACAACTTGTGACTTGGGCAGCAGCTTATGTAGCAAGTAGGAAGGCTCAGCTCTCTTGTATATCTGTACACCCCCCACCCCTCGCTCCATCATGACTACCTTCCCTCCCATCATGACTAACTTCCTCTAGAGTCTGAATTCTTATCCACTTAGCTATATATTCCCAGGAGAGAACCTGATTGGCTTGTGCAGTCAGGTTTAAACTCTGGTCCAATCAGCTGTATTCAGGACGAGTCAGGGTCTGGCTTTGACATGGAGGTCTGGTCCCTCCAGGTGAGAAATAGGGCTGAGAAGAAAGATAGGGTCTCTAGAACATTTTCTGAACTGATAATAGCAGATGACTTATTGCTACTTTTTCCTCACCAATCAGCAGTCATTTTTTTTTTTACCTTTATCTACACCACTATACTTAGCTCAGTACCTCTTGTATAAGACATGCTTAACATGTAACAAATATCAAGTTTTGTCCACCTCTATCATACATCTAGTAGTTCTTACCATATAGCTGTAACCCATATGGTTGAAGAAGAGAAGGCAGATGGACTGACCATGTCTAATTTCTTTCTTCCAGGACTGTTTTGGTTAATGCTAATAAATAACAATAATAATGATAATGTGCATTGTCCATTTTCCATTGGAAAATCATTATGTAAAGTGCTGTATACCGCATTATCCTGTTTCTGCACCATGACAGCCCTGTAAGGAAACAAGTTTAGAGAAGTTAAGTGATTTGGCCAAGGTCACCAGCTTCAAGGTACTGTGGCCAATTCTAAACCTGAAACCATAGCTCAATCCTCTTAGGCACTGAATTTTCTGTCTTCTTGCACTATAGGAGTCATGAATGAGGCTGACAGATGAGGTTAAGGGGAGAGGTGTTGGCTGGGTCAATGCCAATTTTGTGAACTAAACAAAATTGTTCCTTGCTAACAGTTTTTGAAAGCTTTTTGAACATGGCCTTGGGCCTTTCCTGGTTCTGAGGTTTTCCTACAACTCCTCTTAATTGAGTCTTTTCAGGCTGAACTGCAGGATTTAAGTAATTCAACAACAACAAAAAAAGATTTCTCAGAACTTCCTTTCCCTTTAAACTGGGGGAGTATGTGTCCCCAGCTTTCTGCTTTAACTACTTGAAAACATTCTGAGAACCTGAGACAAGACCTGGGTCAGGGCTGACATTTCTTATTGTGCTTTTCACAGTGAGGACTGAAATCTAGGCTCCCCATTACTCTCCAACCCAGGCGTGTACTGGTATCAGACTGACTTGCCCAGAGGAAGAAGCTGCCATATTCCACTTCACATCCTGGAGCACCCCATGGTGCATTTTGAACGGGGTAGCCTTAGATGGATGTAACGTTATTTCAGATTCCCTCTGCTTTGGATTACGGTTTTGATTATGACTGTGCTAATGCCATTTCTGAATATCACCTGTTCATTGGATTTGCTTTAGCTGCAAAGTTGTGTGGAAGAATGAAAACTCAGAATACTGGTAAGTAGAGAGTACTCAGGCCACTTCTTTTGCATTCTTATATACAATAACTTCTGCTCCAGAGTAGAGCACAACTTCCCAGTGGCTTCTTTTTATCTAAGGAGACAGTAAAGACTTTGTGTGCTGACTTTGGGATGATGCCGCCCGGAGGAGGATGCTATTAGCTGAGGGATTTCAGGCAAGTTATTGAGCTTCTACATACTTTAATTTTCTGCTCTATAAATTGGAAATATTAAAAGCACTATGTCACTTGTGCTTTGAGGATTCTTTGAGATAATGAACGTAAAGTGTCTGGCACATAGTTGGCATTCAGTAGGGACACTTTATTGCCAGCACCACCATTATAATTATTACCTACATCTTGGTATTGTTGAATATATGATGTAAGATCCACAATCAGTCTTCTTCCCAAGTTGGTACGCAATAAATGGTGGCTGTCATAATGTCTCTGCTGTGAATTTCAACTCTAAAAGTCAATCATTCCTTTCAGAGCTCTCCAAGGGTTGTTTCTGTATTTTTTTTTTTTTTTCATTCTGTAAGGTCTTTGGCCGGCCCTCACACCCCCATAGCTTTCCTCACCCTATTAAAAGATGCTTTCCTACTGCAGGCACTGATGGCCCGCACCCCAACATTCCCTTGCTTTCTCATGAATACACCACCAATCCTGTCCAGATAGTGATGTGCCTAGTCCCAGGGAGGAACCATGACAGGTACAAGCTGTTTACCGCAGTCCAATTTACCTTTATTTTAATTGATCTAGAACAGAGCATGTGATTGAGCTCTGGTCAATGAGATATAAGGGAAAGTCTCCCAATAAAAGGAGAGAGGAGTGTGCGATGACCCTCATGTTGGTCTTCCTTCCTGCTGTAGGTATTGTCATATGAAGACGTGATCCTTGGAGCTCCACAATTGCCATTTCGTGATCATGTGGACACTGCTAAACTTCCAAGTTGACTCTAAGAATGCTTCCTTCCAATCTTTATTTTTTTTAAGTTTTTTTTTTTTTTAAGATTTATTTATTTATACAAGCACTGGGTACAGTCAGAAGCGCGGGAGGGTGAGAGAATGCACCAGAGCCAGAACGGGGAACAGAACAGAGTGACGAAATACACTGCTGAGGGGAGCAGCAGGCGGGGCAGTAGAGGTCTGTCGTGCCATGTGGGACCCTCACTGGTGGCCGGGGATCTAACCGGTGCTGCAGAGGCTGCGGGCAGCTTTGCAGCCCAGCACTCAAACGCTGCACCACCAGGGGTGGCCCCAAACTTCTTAATATACAGTTACTGTTCTTTTGATTTGGCCTATTGTTAACCTGTGTTCTGCTACTTAGTTGATATATTCCTTTTCTGAAAATGACTGCTATTCCAATTCTGCTGAGGTATAAAGACATTTAGTTTCCATTTTCTTTTTCTACATTTGGATAATCAAGTGTCTTTAAATAAATTCCACACTCACCATTATAGCTAAACTGCCCTTGAAAAGGTCACCAATGACATCTTGATTGACATTTTCAATGACTTGGTCAAATTTCGCATCCTGATTAACCTCTGCTCCATTGGACAGCTTGACCGGTTTCTTACCCTTAAAGTGAGGGCCTCCCTTGGTGCGTCACTGCTCTCTCTCTTTACCGCTGTGGTACCTTCTTTGTGGGCTCTTCTCGTTCTTCCTCTGAACTGTGTATGAAATCTGACATTCTGCCCTTGGCCTTCTCCTCTCCCACTGGGTGTTTTCCTTAAATTCCTTCTCCATTTCCATGACTTTGGCTGCCGCCTGTGGGCCCTAGTGATGATCATATTTGCACCCCCAGTGCAGCTCTTCCTCAGTGTCATATCCACCTTTCTCTCTGGGAACAGGATGTGGCCCCCTGGGTAGCCCCACAGGACCGTCATATTTCATGACTGAATGATATCCCCCACAAATTACTTCTCCTCGCCATTCACACCAGCCCTCAGTTGAAAACCTCACTCATCCTAAGCAATTCCTTCTCTCCCAATAACCAATTAATCACCAAGTATACATTTTTTTTTCTATTTAAAGGAGGCTGTGGCAGCTTTTCCCATGTTTGCTGCCACATTCATTCATCATTTCTGTATTATAAAAGCTGCTCACATGCCTCCTAATCTCTCCTCTCCAATCATCTCCATTGCTGTTAGAGTTGATTTTCTAAAAGCAAATTGAATCACATCACTGGATTTAAAAACGTCCATCTGGGTCAAAGGTGTGTGTGTGAGGGGGTGAGCAGGGGTGATTGTGTTCGCCATCATGCCCTTCAAATAAAGTCCACACTTCCCAACAAGGCACAAAAGACCCTGCAGTCACTCTGTGTACATACCAGATGTTGCATTTCAGCATCTGCCATCTACCCTGCCTCCTAAGCTCAAGTTCCTAAAACTCTTCATTCCCTCTGCTATTTCCTCTGATACCCTCATCATTCTGATTCGTAGCATCCTCTAGTTCTCAAATCAAACCGCACTCCTTCCCCAAAGAATTTCCTATGCCTAGAACTAGAATTCCTTGACCCAGGCACTAATGACATTTAGGGCTCCACACTTCTTTGTTATGGGGGCTGTCCTGTGCACTGCAGGATGTTTAATAGCATCTGAGCCTCTACCTGCCAGCTGCCAGCAGCACTCTCCTCCCTCCACTGCAACAACTAAAAATGTGTCCAGACATTGCCAAATGTCCTCTGGGTGGTGTGGTGGGGGATGTTATTGAGCCTGGTTGAGAACCATTAAACTGGACGAGGTCCCTATCTAATCACCTGCTCTCTCCTGCTCATAACCCCCATGAAAATCTTTAAAGTGACTTATCTGATTGTCTCAACCATTTTTCTTTTAAGATTTATTTTTATTTATGCATATAAGAACTGGGGTGTAGGCCAGAGTCCTGGGGGGTGAGAAGATTCACCAGAGACGGTGTGGGGAGCAGAACAGGAGGATCTACTGAAATACACTGCTGAGGGGAGCAGCGGGAGAGATAGAAGAGGTCTGCTGTGCCATGTGGGTAGCTCCCTGGCCAGGGATTGAACTCATGTTGCAGTGGCTGCTGATAGCTTGATAACGCTGACTTTAACCCCTGCACCACCAGAGAGGACCTGTCTTAACCTTTTGAATAGACTTGTTCTCTCCAAGAGAGCATTTCCCAGGGACCTTTACCCAGCAGGCATGTGGTCTACCTTCTGGAAAGAGGGGTCCATGGTGGGAAGTGACCTTTTTTAATATCTGCCTGGTTTCCAATACTGTACTGACATAAAAGAACTCAAGAAATATTTGTTGAATGAAGAAATGATCAGATCGCTCTATTCAATCACTTTTTGTCTCTGTAAAACTTTTAGTAAGTTTCCTAGTCAAGGTCAGAGTCTTTTCTTTTCCTTACCCCATGATATTTTGCACGTTCCTGTTTCCCAGCATTGATTACATTGGATAATAATTACAAACAATTTGTTAATAAATATTTGTGGGAATTAAATCATACCCTCTTTATTTTTAGCTCTTTCTAGAAACAGAAAAGCTGGGCCCATTCCTGTGCCCAGGAATCTCAGTGTCTAACTCTTTCTTCTCTGCTCTACCTGTTCTGGCCTCCGTGGCTCTCAGCCATGCCTGCCCTTCCCCCACTCATCTGTCTTCTTTCGCTGACATTTCAGAGGAGGAATAATGGCCCAGGGCTGTTGAGAACTGACAGCCCAAATCTTCCTCTAGGTGCTATGCTGCCTCCTCTCCCCTGACTGCTCCCAGCCCTCGCAATGAGTTCTGAGATGTCTTAATATCATAAGGAGTTTGCTCAGGAGCCTCTCCCAGGAATGGGAGACACCATTTCTGCACTGTCCAACCACCTGGTAACTGGAAAATCAAGGGTGAAAGGGAGTTACTATATTGTTAAAATAAACTAACATTCAAAAGTTCAGCCCGCTTGGGGAAAGAGTTTAGTAGTCAGAGAAAAGCTGGGTAGCGCCGTATGGTTCATATGCCTCCGTCAGTCACAAAGCCCTATGCCGAGAAGATGCCGGAGTTAACATTTATATTTAGCATCCGACCCTCTGCATAAATAACAGCATAGAAGCTGGTGTTTGTTTTGAGGTCAGCTTCATTTAAATAGCAAGGCCAGGTGCAGACACAGACGCTGGACCTTTGAACTCCTTGTGCTGCAATCCAGATGTTCGGCAGAGGTGATAAACTTGGGTCACTGACAGCGAGAGTGTGTGGTGCTCTTCTAGCATCTTCCACAAGGAGCCCTGGACAGCAGACTTGGCTCCAGGCCCATTTTTCTAGTGAGAGTCAAGAAACCGTAGCAGCTGCCGTTGTTGCTAGGCATGAGGGATCAGTCACTGGGGAGTTGGGAGAGTCTGTAGGGGGAGGTGGGTAGCAGGAAGGAGGTCACCAAATTGAGCGTGCTTAGCCGCTGCCCACGTTTGCATTACATGAAGACACTCTGCAATGGGAAAAATAAGCTTTTAATGACAGCCCTGAACAAATATGATCCGTGTGACCAAATCAGACTCAAAAGCAACTGCTATCATTTCTTATGGGAGGATTTGCTAAATTGCATGGTTGTTCTAGGGGTTTCCTCATCCCACACTACCTCAAAAGTATGCACAGAGCGAGGGGTTTGAACTTTTTGAATTTAATGCAAAGCACATATGTTGTTTGGGTTTTGCTTGTTTTGTTTGTTTGTTTGTTTTTATGGTTACAAAATATGTTACATAAAAAAGAACCCTATAGCAATAAAATGGCAATGTACACACACACCCTCCAAAAGGATGCAACACATTTCTAATGAAAGGAAACAACCACCTTCGCTTTATCCACACGAAAAATAAAAATGAGGAAGAGGGATCGATTCATTCACAGATTGTGGAATCTTACTGTTTACTGAACTGCGAGTGAGTAGTTTTGAGGCTTGACTTAAAACGGGAATTTTCAAAATGAAGCCGCTCCTGGAGGAGTGAAAAGACTGACAATGGCAAAGGCGACTTGAGTGCCGGGCTTGGCGCTGACCCCCGCTTCCTGCCTTCCAATCGCAGCACTCCACTCAAAGTGCTCTTGTCAAGGGTTCCAGTGACCTTCTAATTGCTAAATCCAAAGGGCATTTTTTGGTCCACTTGTGACCCGAACTCTCTTCAGCAGATGACATAATTGCCCACTCTCTCCTCCTTGAAAGGCGCTCTCTCCATGCTTCAATGACACCGTCCCATCCTGGCTGTTGGCTGGCTTCCCCGCCACTCCTTCCCAGAGCTACTCTGGACTGTCTGTCCTCTTCTTCACAATGGCTCTGGGCAGCTGCCGTGGGCTGCTGAGGCTTTGTGTATATTTTCTTATCAATTCTTCATAGCAACCCCGAGAAGCAGGACTCAGTGGCTCCATTTCACAGACAGGGAAAGTAAGGCTCTGAGTGATGAAGGGAGCCTCACTCAGTATCACAGGGCCAATAAGCAACAGGACTAGAATTCCCGTCTAGGTTTGTTCGAATCTAGAACCAAGTTCTCAATTATTTTACTATACCTTCTCTTCTCCAGGTAAGCCCTAAAACAGACCGCCTGTTCTTCTCTCTTCCCCTTTCCCCATAAACGCTCATCCATTGCCTTGTTTTCAGCTAGTACCTCTATGTTATCTTCAGTGATATGACATCTGATCGCTGATCCTTATTATCAACTATTTTCAAGATATCTTCATTTGCACGTGCCACAGACACCTCGTAGGTGGTGATGGTGAACTCCCCAACTGCCATTGCGCTCCCAATGTTACCCAAAGTCCATGATTGCTGAAAGCATAGGCATGTGATGGAGTCTGTAAGACATGATGAGGGAGAGATTGCTGGGGATGTCTAGGAAAGGTTTTTCTCCCTTTTGGAAAGACACATGAAAGATGGCTCCTTTCCTTCCTCAGATGTTGCTGTCTTATAATATCAGAGTGGCGACCATCATCTGCAACCATGAGGGGTAGGTCAGACCCACCAAGAGGAGGGTGAAGCCTGGGTCCTTAATGACGAGCTGATTACATTTGTCTGGGACTGGTGCTTCCAATTATGTTAATAGTACATTTCCTCACTGTAAGTTTTTGTTTTGTGGTGTTGTTACTTGCAGCCAAAAGCATCCTAAGTGACATCAAATTCATCACCTCTACAACTCTACTCAATGTCTCCTCCTAACAGCCTTCCTTCTGATGACTCTATCTCTTTTAATACCATCATGATTCACTGAGTCACCAAAGTCATTATCATGGACAGCATACTTGACTCATCCCAAAGTCCAATCATGAATTAAGTCCATTGGATTCTATTATTGAAAAACCTCATTGCTTTTTTTTTTTTTACTAACTCTCTTATCTTTTATCATTTTTTGCCATTTTTACTGTTCTTCCGCATGTTACCTCACTCTAAGCCAAGTCACCACCATCTATTAATACATTACTTCCTAAAAGATTTTAAAACTCATACCAACCCTGAAGCTTCCTTGATTAAAATGTATTGATAGTCTACCCTTGTTTTCAAGATAAAATCCAACTGGTCAGCATAGTTTTTAAGATACTTCAAGGTGGGGCTTACCTCTCTGGACTCACCTGTACTACTCCACCTGTACTCGATGTACCAGCACATATTTTGTGGCCCATGACTCACGGCCCCTTCAGGCACTGCATGTGCCATTCCCTTGGCCTGGAATGTCCCCCCTGACTTGTCTCCTGGACAACGCTGGCTAGCTGGTATGTTCTTAGGAACCTTGGTTTGCCTCGCATATCACACAGCAGGTGTGGATTTCATGCATGCCAGGAATGACTTTTTTTTTAGTTTTTCATCTCTCCCCCATTGATTTTTATTTTGAAACCCCCGCCTCAGCTCAATCCCAATCAGTTTGGCACCAGCTTTATCTTCAGCTCTGTCTCAAAGTTCTAGGCTTCCGAGTGTCAAGGCACTGAGAGGTGTCTGCCTGGTGTTGGGGCATCTCTTCATCATAGGCTGATGTAGACATCCCTGTTTTTCTTTATGGCCTCTTCAAGCACAGGAGGCATGTTGGCAAGGCCAGTTCTTTGCTAGGTTCCTAGAATATCTGTGAGAGAGACTTGGACAATATCTGCACAGACACATCCAGTGGCTCTCTGGTTCTGGGGTCTGCCTCTTTCCTGCACACTCTCTGTGGAAGGATTCCCTCTGCTCTCAGCACTTAGTCTTCTCTTTCTCATCAACTTTTCTCTTTTCTCTCTCCCTCAGCACCTGGAAAGTGTTTCCCGGTCCGGAAAAAGCCGTCCCCTCTGCTTCCTTCTTCTGTACATTTGTCTCTCCCCCACCTCCCCTAAGTTCTCCTGTGGGAACTCTGAGTGTTGAAATGATGGAACATAAGAGACCAGAGGCCAGCAGGCCTCTGTCACATTTCTTCCTTAATACAAAGAAAACAGGCCCAATAATCTGCTTGGGAAAGGTGAAAACACAACAGGTCCTCAGGTGTTCAATGCCATTATAACATTGGTGAGAAAAAACAATCCTGTTGGACCCTGAGCAACAAAACGTGATTTGGGAATCCGCTTTCATTACCTGCTATTTCACTCAGGTCTGCAGTTTCCAAGAATCTTTTAAGCAAGGACCTATTGCATCCAAGGATAAAAGAACACAGAGGGGGAATCACAATCCCCTGGAAGCTACAGCCCTCACTACCATGATCTTCCCTGTGTCTCCCCCAGACTGTGCCAGAAGCCAAGGCCTGTGTCCTTCACCCCAGGGGTGTTGGCACCTGATCTCTGGCACATAGTAGGCACCTTGGAGGTAGCTATCAAAAATGAAAATAAAAGAAAGAAAAGAGAGGACTTTGGAGTCAGGAGTTCTGTGTAAATCCTGCCAACTTACTTCCCTTCTATCTAGCAGCAGTAGCCATGGGAGAGGTGATTGGTACAATGCCTGCCGCCGCCCCCCCCCCCCCAACCCGGAGCTCTGTTGTTTCTATGTTTAGCCTTTCCTAGCCTTACCAGAGTCTGACTCACTTTTACTATCTCCCCTCACCCTTCAAGCGGCCCATACTTCCTTATCAGATGCCTCTCCCCTGTAAACTTATTTTTTTTTTTTGTATACTTAGATTTTTGCTTACTCCTTCAGGTGGGTGCCTTTTCTTTTTCCACCACCTTCAGGATTCTTGTGTTCCAAGGATTCAGTCTGTGATGAAGTACAAAGAACTCAGAATTCTAGTTCCACCACACCCTGGTTCTGGAACACTGGGCAAGTGTGTGAGTGTCATGTCTTCTCCTCATCTGGAAGATGGGAATGTTAACTAATTTATCCAGATCCTTCCGAGCATGGGTTCTGGAAGCCACATGCCTGGGTTGAAATCCTTGCCCTGCCACTTTCCAAATGTGTGGCTCAGGGCAACTGGTTTTCCCTTGTCTTAGTTGCCTTATTTATATAAAGGGGCCATCACAGAAGTTCCGCTACAGGGTTATTGTTAGATTCATTGAGTTAAAATACCTCAAGTGAGTCACATCTCACTTGAGACAACAGGCCATATATGTTGGTTATTATTATCCCACAGGTCACCTCCGCTACTTGGAAGCTCATGCATATTTGTCAGCTCAAGCTCCCATAACAAATGTCACAGAGCAGGTGATTTAAACAACAGCCCTCACAGTCTGGGGGCTGCCAATCCTAGGTCAAGGTGTCAGCTGGGTTGGTTTCTCCTGAGACCTCTGTGCTTGCAGCCAGCCTCCTTCTCTGTGTCATCTCAAGTCTCTTCCTTACCTCAGGAGGACATCAGACACATGGGACTAGGGGCCACTGAATGGTTTCATTTCACTTAATCACTGCTTTGAAGGTCCTGTCATCAAATACCCTAACTGAGGCTAAGTTAGGGTTTTAATGTATAAATTTGGGGAGACACATTTCAGTCATAACATGTAAGTAGACCCCAAGATTAGGTGTTCCCGTGGGTGAGCCTCTTTATTAATCTAATTTTAAATGATCAAATCCTAGGATGTTTGGGTTCTCAAGTTTCTATTTGTGGTGTGATAGAGAGAACATGCCATCAGAGAGGATTTGAAACCCAGATTAAAATCCTGTTCATGGGGCCTCCCTGGTGGCGCAAGGGGTTAAGATGCAACCTATGAAGCTATCTGCAGCCTCTGTAGCACAAGTACCATCCTCGGTTCCCCCCCCCCCCGCCCCCCTCTGGCCAGGGAACTACCACATGGCGCAACAGACCTCTCCTGTCTTCCCCGCTGCTCCCTTCAGCAGCATATTTCAGTAGATCTGCCTCTTCTGTTCCCCACTCTGTCTCTGGTGAATCCTCTCACCCCCCACACCTCTGGCCTGTACCCCAGTTCTTTCATGCATAAATAAATAAATCTTAAAAAAAATCCTGCTCATGGTTCCATGGCTGTGGGTGAATCAGGTGCTAGGTTGGAGCTCTAGGTCGTCCCCTGAGGAGAGGGAAGAGAGGGTAGCTCGCGGCGGCGAGAAGCTACAAGGATCAAGGGCTGCCGTGTGTGTGAAGGCACTGAATAATCTCTGTGTCCTGGGTTTTTGTCTCTGATGAAAACGACAGACCTAGATGGATGGTCTTGACTCTCCTTTCCAATCCTCCAAATTCCATGCTCTGATTTAAGTATTAAGTACCAGCTGCTGGGGAAGCAGTTTTTGTGCCCAGGTGTCAATAGACATTGTTGAGCTAATGCAGGAAATTGCCCCGGGGCAGGTAACCCCTGTTTTCTCATATTCTTGTCACACTGGAGCGGTGCCAACAGCATCATTTATTCCCTGGGGTCTGGCATGAGTGACTGGTCTGCCTTGGCGGGAACTCATAGTAACCTGGGCCCAGAAATGAAGTTTGCTAGGATCAGAAACCATTTCTGCCTCGAAGACTCTGAGCTCTCAGAATGGAGCACTTGGACTTAACTACCACAACTGCCCACCTTCCCGGGCATCTCCCAAGCCTGCCAGTCCTTCAGTGACTGTTGTGCTTTAGAGGCACAAGTGAAAAGGGGGCCTAAGGGATGGACTTGGGGAGAGTCATGCTGAGTTTGAATTCAAATTGACTCAGGACAGGGACTCAATTTCTTCACCTATCATATGGGATGATAATAGTTCTTATCTCACTAGATCATTTGGGGTTTCAATTAGGCTAACAGATACAAATGTCCTCCACTCAGTCCACAAATAGTTTTGGCGCTCCTGCTCTATATAGGAACATTCCTTTAACTGTTCTAGGGGATGCAGAGTAGAGTAAAGCAAAGCCCAGGATCCTGATAGAAATAAAATATTAGTGAAATAGTGAGGTGAAAAACAAATCATACATCACCTTGTGACAGGGTGTAAAGAAAAATCATGCAGGATAAGGGGCTAGCACCGATGGGATTATTTCAGCTAAGATAACTTAAGCAGGGAGGTCCTCTCTAAAGAGGGGCATTTAGCAGATGCCTGGATAATGAAGAAAGGAAGCAATGGAAACATCTGGGGGAGAATAGGCAGAATGGCCCTATGGGGTAGCCAGACATGGCAGGAAACAGCAGAGGTTGTATGCCTGGCGCTGAGTTGGGGGTGGATGAGGTGAGCTGGCCTTGAAGGCTAGGATCAAGACTCTACATTTTAATTTAAGTGTCATGAGAAATCATCAGAAGAGTGATTTTTGTCATTTACATCATAAAAGGATCCTTCTGATTGCTGTTTGGAGAAGAGTTTTTAAAGAATCCTGGTACTCAAAAAACTGATCATTTACCAACGATTTCTTGCTCTCTACCTCCTAGGCACATGGTAGTTGCATTTCCTGTCACTGAGTAGGGCCATGTGGCTAACCAATGACTGAGCAGAAGACACACATGCAACCTCAGGACCAGCAGTTAATCACAAGGCGAGACCCCCCAGAACTCATTTCCCTCTATCTTAGAGATGAACAATGTCCAAGGTAGAGCCTACTCGGCAGCCCAGACTTGCGGGGAGGTGACATGGGACAGAACCACAGCTGACCTGCAGTGGGCATGCTGCTCAGCTAGAGATCACTGATGATCTGGATAAATAACCAAGATTTGGGGATGTTAACCACACCATAACCAAGCAGTAGGAAACAAGAGGGGAACAGGGAGGTCAGTTAGGGGCTAAAGGGTGGTTCAGGCTTGGACAGGGGTGACAGCAATAGAGATAATGAGAAGTAGTCAGATTCAGGGTAGATACTGAAGGTCAAGTGCAAACTGATGAACCGGGTGACATAGGATATAATCTAAAGCAAGGAGGCAGGGATGACTCTGAGGATTATGCTGTAATTGGGTGAACTACTGAAAAGAACATTCAGGAAAGCATAGGATTACCCACAGTGCCAGGTACACAGCAAACTACAGAACGCTAGTTTTGTGGTTATTACGATTAGAGGGCCAGACAATATGAAATGTAGCGGCATAGAGAATTTTTCAATTTAGAATAATCAAAAGTCAGATATGTTAAGGTGTGATTTATATAAGTTTTTCTTTTTGGGGTACAGGCAGGTCTGCATTTTAACAAAAGTGTTTTGTCTTCTAACCACCTTCACAATCAAGATATAAACTCCTTCCATCAACCCCCCAATTCTTTTTTGCTGCCCCTTCCTTTGAGGTCAAATCCTTCCTTTACTCGTAAGCTCCCAATTCATCTGTTACATTCATCCCTATACCTATGCCTTTTATAGAATGTTACATAAATAGAATCACATAGTATGTGCCCTGTGAAACTACTTCTTTCACTTGGGACTACACATCCGAGATTCAGCTGTGCACATGCACCAGCAGTCTGTTCATGCTTGCTGAGTAATACTTGAGGGTACTCCATGGTATGGGTGGATTATGCTTTATCATTTACCAGCTGAAGGGTTGTTTCCAAAAATGGTGACTAAGAATAATGTTTCTATGAATATTTGAGTACAGGTTTTTGTGTAAACATGTGTTTTTATTTTTCTTGATAAATCTTTAGCAGTGGGATTGCTGGCTCTTATGTTTAAGTAAACATTTAGTTTCATAAGATACTGCTAAGTCATTTTCCAGAGGGACTGTACTGCATTGCACTACCACCCATTGTGTGAAGGGCCTCCTGCCCTCCCCAGCACTTGGGATTGTTAGGATTTTTTTATTTAAGCCAGTCTAATGTGCAGTGATATCTCATTGCGGTTTTAATTTACATTTCCTTAATGAATAATGTTGTTGATCATCTTTTATGTGCTTATTAAGCATTCCTATATCTTTTTTGGTGCCATGTTCATTCAAAGTTTTTGCTTGTGTTTTCATTAGGTTATCTTTTTATTTTAGAGCAAAAGTTCTTCATATATTCTGGATGAGTCCTTTATCAGATATGTGCTTTGCAAATATTTTCTCCCAGTCTTGACTTGTGTTTTCATTTTCTTAGTGTCTTTCAAAGAGCAGAGGTCTTAAATTTTGATAAATTCCAAGTTATCAACATTTTCTTTTATAGTTTTTATTTTTTATCAGAGCTCAAAAATATTTGTCTTCCCAGGGCAGTAAAGGATTTCTCCTGTATTTTCTTCTGGAAGTGATATAGTTTTAGTTTTATACTTAGGTCTGGATCTATTTTGAATTAATGCTTGCAAATGGTGTGAGGTATAACCCAGAGCTGTTTTGACTTGTGTTATTTCCTACTGTGCAGGCAGCAGATCAATAAAACTTCACATCTCTGATAAGCACATGTACAGGTGACATTGTAACTGATTGCAAAATCTGGTCAAGGTTCAAACACAGATGATCAGGGAAGCTCCACCTCTCTGACTCTAGGGCTGCTTTTTCAGAAGTTAATCCTTTCTTTAGTGTGACTCCACAGATGTGCCCAGTGAGGCCAGCATAAACCTGTCTTTATGTGAAATAAGCTGGGTTCTTTCTAGTTTCTGAGACACTGCAGAAGTCAGATGCTTCAGGAGACAGTGCTCTCTCTCAAACTACTGAAGGCACATTCAGTACAAAGTAGGGCATTAAATCTTAGCAATTAGAAATCATAATTAGTGCTAGCTCCCATCCTTCTCGGGTACTTTTTTCAATCACCAACTAGCACTGTTTTATGCTTCCTTTTCCCCTCAATAATGCTAGCTTTGAAAGTTTCATTAAAATCATTTCGATCTTGGTGTCCTTAAAACTTCAAGAATAAAACCGGGGAGGAGAGATGGCTGGGCAACCAATACAGAATTGTCAACTTGTGAATTGTGGCCAATTGTGGATATTTTAAG